CCACAAATCACCTAAGGTGATGCGAAGGCGGTCTGCTTCTGAAAAGTCGAGAGGAATTTGCGATTCAAAATCCCAACGGCTGAGAGCGTCGGCAATGTCATTTCGAGAACCGGCAATATGTGACAAATCCAGTTCCATGCCTGTGATACTGCAAAGTAACGTGAGCTTTTCAAGGAATAAGCACATTGGAGAGCTCATGCTGAAAAGGCGGTTTCCGCCGGCCTCTGCTCCTGTGTTGTCTGTCCAGGAAGGAAGACAGAGCGGATAGCGGAATCCTGGCAAAGTGCGACTGAAAGTCCAAAGAATTGCAATCTGCGCTAAACACTCATACGATGAAATATCTCTTTGAAGATCTTGAGAAACTGGAATATTCAACGCATCGAAGTCGGCAAAAACAAATCGTTCGGAAAACCAGATCTTTCGACCTGATGGCATGAAAACGAATCCACCTATCTGACAAAAATCCGAATTGGCACAGGCGTCTGCTGCGGCTTGGCCCTGCCAAAGGGGACGAGGCCGCAAACATTTCATGGGAGATGAAAGCTGAACCCAGTGTAAATACATGCGCAATATTCGTTCAGTCCCTGGCTGGATGCGTCTTTTGTTGGAAGCTGGATCGCGAATGCGCAACCAAATTCGTCTCTCTGTCAAATGACAGTGGCTGAGGTCGGCCTTCGTAGAGATTTCTTGGTGTCGAACAGCCAGAAGCTTGGATCCAACAGGAACCACTGTTCCCAGAGGACGCTCGATGAAAATCAATTCGTCATTGAGGGTGGTTTGCAGTGATGTCCAGGAACCCGGGTCCACGCTGTAGTGACTTGCTGGAATGGCAAAAAGGTCACGATACAAATGCACCATCCATACCCGCATTAGAGGAAAAATTTGAGTGATCCAATTCAGCAGACCAATTAACTTTTCCAGAGGCTTCTTGTGAGTGCGTGAACTCTTCAAGACGTCGTGAAGGTGGCGCGTCAGGCGCTCCAATTTGGAGGATGGAATCTCAATGTAGCCCGCGAAAATGTGAAAACTCCAACCGATCCATGTCAGTTGTCTGCCCAACTCACACTTCTTCCAGCTCACTGGAATGTGAAGCACTTGGCACAGGATACAAATGATGCAGACGGCTAACGGGCTGCTTCGCTCTTCCAAAATGAACAAGAAGTCGTCGACGTAAAGGAAGCCACTGTGCGGCCACCAGACCAAACGGTGCAAAAAGCGAAGCGAAAATCCGCCAAGCCTCTGCCACCAAAATGCAGAAAAGGTGGCCCCGAATGGGCAGACCCGGTAGAAATAGAGCTGGTTCTGTAATGTGAAGCCCAGTAAGCCTTGTTCAGATTCTTTCACCACTATTCGCTTATGGGCGCTCTTGATGTCGAGACTGAACCCGCACAGTGGTTGTGAGCAACGGCGCAACGGGTAGCATCGCATCACATCCTTTGCAGAGGGTAAAGTGGCCCGCTCCTCAATGACACAACGGTCATTGACTCCACAGATAGAGGAGTCGACCACCAGGCGCGGCGGACGGCTGTCAGAAGTAGCCACGCCAAGACGCCCAACGGCCAAATTGCCCGAGAAAAACTCTTGAGCTTCTTCAACTGTGCCATGGAAAGGATAAACCCAACCGTGGTCGAGCTCCTGTTGGACCAATGACTGGGTGAGATGGATGTCAGTATCTGCTGATTGCCAATTGCGCATGTGAACTGACAGAGGCGTCGGGGTCGCCGTGTCAGCGGCGGACTTTGGCAAGGAATTCGAAGGCGGAATGCCGTGAAAGAAGCCAGTGGAGACTCCTTCCAACAAGGAAGGAAACAGAAATATATCTGCGTCCCCCATCAACTGGCTCAAAGATTGTAAAATGCAAAGATTCATGGGTTGGTGCTCTCGGACACTCCAATCTACGGGTTGACCTGCTTCGGTCAAGAATTCTGTCAAAGCATTCGCAAATGGTTCCAAAATCTGTTCATCGAACGGTGGCTCAGTAGATTTTGAAGAAAAATACTGAGGCAAACGCTGCGGAAGCTTCATCTCTGTCAACAGTTGCAACCACTTTGCGCGCAAATCATGAAAACAATCTGGTTCCGACCTCGAAGGTCGGCTCCAATCGGGCTGCGAGTGAAGGCCTCCCCCGTCTTCGTGGCTCACAGGGAGGTCGTGCAAACCTTTTGTGGGGATCAAGCGGGTGGCTGAGCTGAGGTCCAAACTGTTGCCTTCATGAGAAAGAAGGGGAGAAACCAGCAATGCGAATTGTTGACACAGTTTCACTGGATAAGTGGCTATGCCTCTACTCAAAAAGGGCCCATCTGCTTTGCGGACGCCCACAATGGAGCGATGTGCCCCCGGAGCGTGGTTGCATTGACTCCCCAATTGGGTCAAGGGAAAAAATGAAGTGGCAAACATCCATGATTTTGCAAAATCCACATCGAAAGAACAGGCTGCCAAATTCACACAATATGGTGCAGAAAGTTTCAGAAATTGTTGGACTTCCGGCTCAAGCCAACTCATGGCGTTGGTGGGCTGTTCCAGGTGGATGTGCCCACCCGCAAGGTGAATCAGGCGCAGACATTGAATGCGTCGAAACAACGTGATGAAACTCTCCTGAACTCGTTGCAATTCATCCGGCGCTAACTCTGGGAGCCCCGCCGAGAATTCTGGTGTGCGCAGCGCCTTGGGGCCATTGGGTCGAAGCTTGAGGCGAGAATATTCGCCACAGGATGGCGAGGCGGCCCCATAGCCTACCACACCACTCGCGCAAAGACGCAAAAGCGATTCGTAAAAAGCATCGGACAAAAGATCCATCTGAGGATCCAACAAAATGTCGACGGATAAGTGATCAACTCCGAGCACATTCAAAGCATTGGACAAAGGAACTGTGACTCCACAACAAATGTCAACAAAAATGCGAGATGCTGAGGTGAGACTCTGTTCTAATTTCGTGGAGGTTTCGTCAGGAGGAGTCCTTGGGATTCCCGGGGTTTCTGGTGGAAAAGGGACACTGGAACAATGGCCCTGCGAATTTGGTGGTGTCGTATTGACGTCCGGTTCATGCAAAGTGGCCTCTGACTCTGCGAGGTAAAGCTGAGGCGCCAACTGGCTGCACGGCGCCGACTGACTGCAGGACGCCGGCATCGGCTTGGTCGATGGCTGAGATTCCCCTGGTGTAGTATGAACTGAACCGAGTCAGTGGGGTGTGGAGCGGTGATCAAAGGCTGAGCGCTCCTTTCCACAGGCGGTCCCGTCGGGGAGTGGATACGCGCATCTGTGTGTGAACTTGCAATGAGGGCTGGAACACTGGCCGGATTGGTATCGCATGCACATCTGAGTCCACTTGCCTTCGTGGAAAAGGTCGGTGACCCACTGAGGGCGGGATTGTTTGCCACCCTTGGATGTCAAGGCTTTGGACTTACCCTTGCTCTTACTCTTGCCCTTAGCTTGGTCATCGGACCTTCCCTTTCCTTTGGAAGGTTGCCAAATGGTCACTTTAGGTGTACGAAGTCGAGGCTGTAGATACAGGCTCAAGTCAGCCCGGAGGTGAGTCATCTCACGCAGTGCGTCGTCCATGGCCCACTCACGTTCGTTCATGAGCTCGCTAATCACTGACCAAACATGCTTGTCTGCCGCCTGGGCTTCCAACACTGTGGCGCACCGAAGGCCTGATTCGGGATCGAGCCTTTGAGTCAGACACGTCAAGAATTTGCTGGAATAGGCTTTCAAATTTGCAAGGTGTGCACAGTTGCACATGGCGAGAGCCGTATTGTGAATGTCCAGCAAATTGCGGATAGCGTTCACTCCCATGCCTGAGTTGCTCACCTCTAGGGCCGGCGGCTCGTCCATCAATAAGGTATGTAGGGTGAGGCCTTCCAGTTTCGGGGCCTTGCTAGATCGAGAAGCGGCGATGTCTTCCGCACGGGACACACTCAAGCGAAACTTCCACGGCGCCCACGACCAATGCTTCTTTGCAGTCTGGTGGGCGACCAGACTCAACAATCTTGTGGATGGCATGTTCTCCGTGGACAAAATCTCGGAGGGATACTTTTGCAAAAAGGCCAGTTTAAGGGATTTGATCTTGTCTGAGTTCAACTTGGGCGCAAATGATTCACTCCAAGAAGTGTCTGTGGTAGCAAGCGCGGGCGAGGCACTGCTCGATCCTGTAGGCAAAAGCGGGGGAGAACCCGAGTTCCAAGCTTGATGGCATTTCTTCCAAGCCAAACGCAAAGCCGCCCTCTGCAGGGCTCCTACTTCCTCGCCGGGGACGAGTTCACTGAAAAAAGCTGGGGAGAACTCCTCAATGCTGCTCACGCAAAATGCGAAAGTTTCTGCCGTCCAATTTTCAGCAATGAGCTGCGCACTGATACCTGAGCTAACGCCGCAATCCGACAGGGCGCTTTCAAGCGATTTGTCATCCACAGGATGCGCCATCACGCGAGGTGCTCAAGCTAAATGAATTCAGAAAAAGAAGACATGCGTCGTGTATGTCATCCCAAGATGTGGAGCGATGTTGAAGGAAAAGTGCTGAGTTTAAGGATGAGATGGAAGCACTTCTGGGCTATGGGCATGGTGGGTTGGCAAGAATGAAACGGTGATTAGGATGACGCCTGGGATGTGGGTTCCAACGTAGGCGAACCAAAAGCCGCGGCGAAGCAGCCGGAATACGCTCGCGCCGAATGTCGAGGGAAAGAAGACTCACGCAAGCCAAACGGCACCGAGAAAATGCAAATAATGCAGCCCAAGAAAGGACGCATTATTGACACCACAGTCCTTGAAAACCAGGTGTATCTGATACACCTGGTTTTTGATCGAAAAACCTGTTGAGGTAATGCTGAAAAATGCGGATTCCAAAGCGGCAACGTTAGCATCACGGGGTCAATATACTAGCATCAGCGACACTGCGACGTAAAAAAAGAAGAAGCATCAGCGCGTCTCTTTTTGGACAACACTCGACGCGATCAGTAAGGCAGGGCGCATGCATGTTGCATGGGCTGGAATCGAAACTGAGGGCTCCACTATGGTCCCTGAAGGTGTCCGGACGTCAGGAAGGCTTTTTTGCAGCCTGCGTGCTGACAGGGGAGCATTTGAGGATCATAAGATTCGTGAATGGTCACTGAGAAGTTGCTCATGCGAACTCCGCACGCTGGTTTGTAGTGCGAACCTGCATACCAAACGAATTCAATGGTCGTGTCAGGACATGCGATCAACATGTGACATTTTTGACGACGGCAAGCTAACAATATTTCATCTGAAGCTCCCGCCGTATGCTGTGGTGGCGCTCGGGTTGGAGGGGCAGGGTCAGCTGAAGCAGTCGAGGATTCCGAGTCCGAACTGGCGTAAGAATCGGAAGAGTCCCCTAACTCGTTGCTCTGTGGCTCCGGCGCCGGAAGCGGTGTGTGGTCCTGACAGGCAAACCAGGTGAGAGAAAGGTCATCAGCTTGTTTACGAAAACGTTCAATCTGAACTGCTGGTTCAACCATGGGCAACTGACCCCCACGATGCAGGGGAATCATCGGACGCCAACCTCGAAGAAGTTCCTTTCGGAGAATAGTCTGGCATCTGAGTGCTCCCAAAACATCGTCACGACTGTATAGGCGCATGGATTGATGCGCTGACGACCTGTGATGTCCTTGAAGCATGCGAAGCTCCGGCAAGATTTTCTCAGCAAGCTGATTGCTCCATGACAGGAATGTTACTTTCAAACTATGCAAGCTATAATTAAGGCTAAGGTGTTTGATGGGGCTGTCCAGGGTACGCCAGGGGGCATGAATGAACTTTCGGAGGTGCTGCAACGCTGAGGCGTACGACATTGGCTCAAGCGGCACGACCAGCAGGTCATCTCGGAATGCTGGAAGTACAAAATCTAGGTCATCCAGGTGAAGACGGGTCAAGATTTGGTCCATGGCCCACAAGAATTTTAAGACCCAAGTGAACGATCCCTCACTCATGAGGCCACTGGACACGAGACCGAAAGGCTGGCCCCGCACAGTCGTCTTGCTCCTCCAGCATGTGCCCCGGAGCGAGTGGGGATCATACACAAAGGACTTCAACGAGACGCGCTGCATGTCAGCGAAACGCATGCTAGTCCAACACATGAGGAGAAAACTACCAAGGATGATCACCTGTGATTCGGGGCAACTGGACATGAGCACTCGTCTCTCAAATTGGACAATGGTCCATAAAGGCAACGGGGGAGCCTCCTTGCGGTCAATCAACCGTTTTTGCTTTAGGAACGAATCAACTATGGGGTCATAGAAGAAATCCCACGTAGTAATTTGGGCCATTTTGGCACACCGCCGGAGTGCTTTGATGGTGGTCTGGTGGGAACTACCGCCATCTGTAGATTTGGCCAATGATGCGGTCATCAACAAGTCTGCAAGTTGAACGGGGGTGATACTAACTGGGTCAATGCCCGAGTCATTGCACGTGGACATGAATTGGCGGACAGTGGCTACATACTTCCAAATGGTGCTAGGGGCAAACTGGTCAAGAACCCGATCCAAATGAGCATCTACATGCATGGAATGCTGCATGGAAACCACCAATTGAGAAGCCTGACCAAACCTAGAGAGCAAGTCTCTCCACATGGCGCATAACCGAAGGCTATGACTAGGCTGCTGCAATCGAAGTGTCTGTTTCCGGGCGGTGGAGACATTCTGGGGCGCGGACTGAACGCGAGGGATCCCAAAGTGAATACCTGATCCGGGTTCAGAGGCTGCACCTGCGGTCAAACTGGTAACCTGAGTGTGTACAGGCACGCTAATATGAGCTGATTCTTGGCGGTGGTCACGCGGTGCATGGTCCACATGAACTAGACTGCGGACTAAGCTGAGGGCCTGCGGACGAGGCTTCGGCAAGGGATGGCTCTGCGCAATGCGGGGAGGTGGCACCGTTGAGGCCGGTGGGTCATGCTGCATGTGGGCCGGGGGTTGTGGGGTACCGGAAATCGACACCCTGTGATAGGGGTGGGATGGGTCAGTGACCGTGGGGCGGACGCTCGAATCAACGCGGAGACAAGCGGGGACTCTCGGACGCACCAACATGGTGCTGGAAGGCAATAAAAGGTCTGCGGGGTCTCGAGTTGCTTGTGGGACCAACTCCCAGGATCCTGCGAGAACGTTCTTTCAATGCAATTGGACTGAAACCATGATCGAGAAAAGGAGAAATTATCAAGCATGCAGATTATATATAACGGTTCATAAGTTTCCGAGGAGAAGGCTAATAAGCCACTACAAACTGTGAAAAAAGCATACGCCGTGGCAAAGCCGCACTGAGATCAGCACCTGTGACCGAAGTGGCGGAATCGTCATTTGGTTGGTCCATCACGGAATGAAGCGAACTGCCACAACCAAGTGGGCACAACTTGCAGCGCAACGAAAGTGTTCGCGTTGCGCTGAAAGCTGAGGAGAAAGCCGCAAGATGGCCAGGGGCCTGAGAGCAATGAGACGGGTCCGATGCGAACGAATCGAAATGGCCGCAATTAGGAAGAAAAAATACATCCAGCAGAAGACATAAAGGAAGTGTCATACTCCCGCACACTGCCCGAGGTTGCCGGCTCTCTGAAAAGGAATGTATAGTATAGACTCGAGAGATGCACATTAAACTGAGACGAATGCAACGATCCTGAAGCAAAGCAAATGTCACTCTGAACGGAGCTTCACGCTGCGGCCATCACGCCCGGGATAAGGCCGGTAGAAAATGAAAGCTAAGAAACATTTGTAAAAATTTGAAAGCAATGCAGCAAAACTTGCAAAACCATGACCATGAAAGTGAGTGAAAGCGCTGAAGAAAAAGCATTGAAACACCAGCGTGCAATCTGAATGTCACTTGAGCCAAAATACAGCAACGCCAGAGTAATCTGAAGAACCCTCTAGATAAAACACAAGTGAACAAGTACACTAACCATGCTTTTGCCAAGGGATACGGACGTTTCGGCATAGGCTATTCTAGGCTAGCAACGGCGCTTGGCAATTTTGAGCAAGGGAACATCCAAGCAGAAAGTACAGTAGTAGCTCAGTGGCTGACCTCCGGGCTACGAATTGCCATGTCCCGCACAGGGTGGAATCTGCTGTCTCCCCGCTTTATGTTGACCAAAGTTCCTGGTGCTATCCTCAGTAACTACTACTGCCATGGATATCCTTTCACTCCTAAAATGGAAGATCGCCCATATAACCAATATGGCCCACTCCTCTACTCGGAAGGCCGATGGGATCAGCTCTGCGCATGGCTCACTGGGAATTCCAAGTTTCGAAGTCAGCTCGCAGGCCACAAGCAGGCGCTTAGGGACCACATGGGCTACAGTCAGGAAGCCGCTGACCCAAGTAACAAAGCTCGCCGTACTGTCCCTCCTCCAGGAGCGACAAGCTCCTCGTCTGCAGCAGGGTCTTCCTATCACAGCAGGCCTCCCCCACCACCCACGCCTTATGGGTGGTGGCAGTAGGGCGGTCTCCAGCAAGAGTCTCCCCGCACAGTGACCGTTTCCTAGTAACTGGACCTCCTCCATGAAATGGGTAGCCTTAGCCACCCTAATTCGTGTTGTCTAATTGTCATCATGATTTTCGCACCGACGACATATCTGTTACCTCTGGTTTTGTTTTGTTTTGGCCCAAGCAACTCGAGCATAAACGCTCGGACTGCCGCCTACGCGACAATGCCGCCTAACCAAGACCGTTATGAGGTCAGTCTTGATTTGGTCACGATAGCAGGCACGGAATATACTATGCAAGCAAATCTCACCCAGTACGAGGATGTGGCAGAGCTGGAAGATGACATTCTTTGCTTTCTGCCGACAGTTTCTGATTTGGATGTCTTCGGCTGTGAGTTAGATTTGCTCGAACTTCACACGCAGCAACCCCTGCCAGAAGCATTTCGCACAGCGCTCCTGCAACGGCCGCAACTACAAATTGTAGTTCGTCCCTGCATGGTAGATGGACACTCCATCTGGCAGTTCCAAGAGGACGGAAGGGAAAGCTACCCCAAAGCTGTACGTGTCCCGGCTAACCCACGTGGAGAAATTGCTGACAGAGCCTTCTATGCTGCACCCGTGCTCCGGCATGTAGAAGTGGCAATGGGCATTCAACATGTAGGAATTGCGGCCTGGCAGAGTTGCCAGCTACTGCAAATTGTCAAGCTCCCACCCTCGGTCATAAGTCTTGCAGAAGGGACCTTCCAGGGGTGCTATGTACTGAGAGAGGTGGCCGCCCCGGGGTGTGTCCAGTACAGTCGAAGAGTGTTTGCGGAGTGCTGCTCCCTAGGTCGAGTTGGTGTCAGTCACGAAACTGAGGACAGCAACGTCCTAGCACCAGGGGCACAGTTAGGCAAATATGCATTTGAGAGTTGCCTCACGCTTACAACCATCACCTTTGACATGGACCACACCAATAAACCCCGAGCGCTGCCTGAAGGTGCATTTTGTGGAGCAGGCATTGAACAGCTCTGTTTGCCAAGTGACTTTCACAATATCGGGCCGAGGGCCTGTGAAAACTGCAAACGACTTATGGAGGTCAACCTCTTGGGCACAGAAATCACAGCCCTACTCTACTCCACCTTTGCCCACTGTGTAGCCTTACATTGCATATGGCTACCACCAAGACTCACGCAAATTGGCAAGGAAGCTTTCCTTAATTGTGTTATGCTCCAAGAAGTAGTCATCCCGACAGAGCTCAGTGACATAGGCAACCGTGCTTTCTGCGGGTGTGAGCAACTGCAACGATTTACTCCCCTGGATTGGGGAGATATTGAACAGTGGGTGCAGGCAGAGCACAATGCTTTCTTCATGTGTGACAAATTTGAAAAACCCCGGCGGGTGGAGCTCCTCTCCGCGGATGGGCCCGATTCGGACGCCTTTGATGAAGAGCTATACCAAGAGTATTCCTAACATCAGGTCAGTCCATGTGAGGTTCAAGGTGGGTGCCTTAGCATCTGTCTTCAGGAAACATCCCTGGCCCTAGGAACAGTCCATGAGCAGAGTCAGAAGCTTTTGGCTCAAACAGTAAATGCAAATAGACAGCCATTCATGGAACTCGACGACTCATCCAGGCTTAGTACTCCCCCTGAAATGGAGCCGGTCATGGACTGCTCCTTGGTACTGACCACGCTCTCGGGGGTGACTATCAAGGTCTCCCTCAGTGTGGCAAAGTTTGATCGATTTGAGGACCTAGAGGACCAGGTTATGGACTATCTAGCCTCAGTCACTGACCTCAAAGTGTTTGGGTGCTCCATCGACTTTTTGCAAACTGCCACACAGACATACCTTGAGGACCCAATCTGGGACAGGCTACAGCAAGGCATGGCATACACCGTTGTCTTTAAGGATCACCTTGTCATCACAGGAACAACTCGACGGTTGCCCATCAGGTTCCGCTTGCCGTTCATGTCCCTATGAACCCAGAGGAAATTGTCCCAGAAGGGGCTTTTGCAGGGGTTCCGCGTTTGCGGCATGTCAGTGTTGAGCCAGGCATCAGGCTCATTGGAGCAGAGGCCTGGCAAAATTGCCGACAACTTCGCATTGTCAAACTGCCGGCCACAGTTGTAAGCATTTCCGATAACGCCTTTCGTGACTGCAAGCAACTTAACAGCGTCTCGGCTCCTGGTTGCCGAGACTTTGGATACAAGGCCTTTGCGGAATGCTGTTCCTTACAATGGGTGTATGCGTCTGAAGGGGTTGCAAATAAATTCAGTAACGAAGCCAAGTTCGGGCAATACCTCTTTCAAGGGTGCATCAACCTTGCTGAGGTTACTTTGTGTGAGATTCCATCCCCCCGAGGGTCAACACTGCAAGCTAGGGCCAGTGAGCTGGCACCGGGCTGTCTTAGCTCTACGGGAATCACTGCACTCGCTCTTACAAAGCATTTTACTGCTATTGGAGCGCATGCGTGTGACAGTTGCCGACTGCTTAAGAGTGTAGACCTTTGCAACACCACTGTTGAAGAAATTCCGGAATTCACCTTTGTGCACTGCACTAGCCTCAGAGAAGTTCTCCTTCCGACTACTCTCCATACGATCCGAGTTAAAGCCTTTATGAACTGTGCAGCCCTAGTTGAGCTTGCAATCCCGCCTTCGCTAAGATACATAGGAAGTAGGGCCTTTTTGGATTGCGCTGCCTTGAAGAGGCTCGCCAAAATGCCAGGCAAGCACAAATGGCGAGGAGTCTACGCAGAAGAAAATGCTTTCGCCATTTGTCCCGATATGAGATGGCCGCCCTGGCTACATATGATCCCGGACATTGGATATACCGCTGGTCTTGGATGAAGACAAGCCTCTCGGATCACAGCTATCGCAGGCCCACAAACATCCATCATGGGCGCGCGCCTTAGCTCGAGTCCAGAGTAGGCCAGAAGCCACAGCAGGCCAAACTCATGAGTAGAGCTGAGGATCACGGCAAAAGAAGCCTTCCTTCAGCGTACCTCTCTACAGGAGGTTCTTACTCCTGCTCTGCATGGCGCTATGCGCCTTTGCAGGCAGTCCGCACCTTCAAGCAAAGTACAAGCAGAGGAAAAGCAACACATCGAAGGACATATGTCCTTGACCAAGGAGGGTAACTTGTCTAGCCCAAGCGACACCGAGAGCGGTCGACAGATGGCAGTGA